ATTATTGACTATTTGCAAATTGTAACTATGGAGACGAGGTAATAAAATAAAAATTAAGTTGAGAACCACAACAAAATTTTATAAACAAAAACCTCTCGCTATTATATTATTTCCCTGTCAATGTTCCCACCTTCATTAAAAGGTGTAAGATGACAAAAACAAGATCTTCAAGAATCAATCTATATACTAAAACTCTGAGATTGTTTGTTTGTTGGCTTATTTTCTCAGTCGAAAAATCATTCACACTACCGTTTCGCGCTCTTTACAAAACTTATCACTTCACTTTTTTGAAAAATGAAATTGTCTTTCTTTTTACTCCCGATCAACAACCAAATATCTTTTCTTGAATTATGAATAACACAAATGGATTGAAATATTTAATTAAATTATCTCAAAATAAACCTTCATTTTGGTGCAATATTGAAATTAGCTTGAATTCTTCATAAACTCTGAACAGTGGTTGACCCAACAGGTCACAGTGGTCTAGTATAAAATAAAATAATTCAATTACAATAATCTAGTATAAAAAAGTATTATTCAAATTGCATTTTTATAGCCATTACAAACATGAGGTACTTTTATTTTGTATTTGGTTGTAAGAAATAGAATAACTTCAAAATAAAACAAAACCTATACTTAAAACTACTCTCATTACAATTATATCACAATACAAGCAAAAAATATCAGTAACCAGTAAACTTCATATTTTATATGCAACCTTATAAATTCGTCATGTTATATTTAACGGTGACAGATTTTTAATAACTATAATCATCACATCCAAGGTTAATATTTAGCACCTACCAGATTTTGGCTCAGATAGAATTAAATATGTTGTATCTGAAAACACCATTCTCAGAGTAAGCAATGAAATTTATGTTACTGAAAAAGTCTCAAAGTACATTAGAGGAGTACAAAAATTAATTTTGTTTAATGATGAGCTGAAATTGAAGCAAGAAAAGAGAAAACTACAAAAAATTGGAATATTCAACCTCACGTGCAAGAGTTAAGTAGTTAGATCAGAGACCCCTAGAATTCAGGTAATGCTATCTTTAATTTTGAACTACATGTACTAACAAAAGAGGAAAGAGTCAGTCAGCAATATCTACTGCACAAGAGCTTTCCTCATCTCTTAGAACTGAGTAATGGGACTGACTTTTATAATGCACCCACATCTGAAAACGTGAAACACGTTCAATGGCATCACATTTTGGGCCCCTTTCCTATAATCCACAGCCTGGCATACTAGCTATTGAGCTATGCCCAGCTCAAGTATGAATAAAATAATTTAATGTATGTGTGTTTTTAATGCAGAGCTACAGAATGGATTATTTGCACACTATCCACTGTGGAGAATTGAAATCTGAATTTTAATATTGTAAATCTGTAAAATTACTGCTGGTCCACCAGAGGCCAAATAAGTTAATAATAATGTGAATGGCCTAAATTAGGCACAAACTGACATTACATTATTTAATTTAAACAGAAATATGTATTTTAGAATTTTAAGTGAATAGTGCAACATAAATCTTTGACCTCTAAGAAATACACAATAATTATTTAACAAGTTTCCAAAATTACACAACAAATAAAACATCTGCTAATGCAATCTTCATAAATATTCTATGTAACAAAAAAGCCAATAAGGATTAACTAGTGACTATCAGGGCAATATTATGCAAGTGATTAGATGTATTCTAATCTCATTAGTATGTGTAACTCCCATGCTAAGACCAGGTATTTTCCTAGAGATGAATTACGTACATTAAAAAAACATTTTAGTGCCGATTTTCAACAATTTTAAAGCTACAAGTAACATACTAACAAAAACTCTCAATCTTACCTTGACAAGTCATAAACAATAATAGCAGCAGTCCTGAAACAACAAAAATATAGTATTAAATTAAACAAAATTATGAAAAAGAAAACAAATGCTTTAAGTTTAGTACAAAAAACCCTTCAAAACATTTTTTTAAGATATTTTTTCCCTCTTTTATTATAAAGACATTTACACTACAATTTTGATATATTTTACAGATATAACTAAATTCTGTGCCAACAAAAACACTTCCAAAAAACAGATTTATTTAGATACTTGTTAAAAGTACTGATCTGGAAAAAATTACATACTTACAGAAATAGAAATTAAATTCATTTTAAAATAAAATCTTAAAAAAATCAAAATAAAACTATATCCAACAGTACAAAAGACTTGTAATTTTTGTTGATATTATGATGTGCCAGTAACTATTTTTATAAGCCATTAAAACAAGTTCATATTGTGATATTTATTTCATACAAAGCAAAAAAACTGTTTTACCATTTGTAATTAGTCAAAATAGTTTGAAACTATTTCTTTTATTAAGGGTTTTGCTTTAATGTACTACTCCTACCTGTTCCTATATAGGTACAATGTCTTGGCTTCTATACTTAAGCCTTGTTCAGGTGGAATGTCAAAGTTGTTAACTTTGTATTTTTGTTGGTTAGCATGGCCCTGTGATAGGGTTCCTTTCAGTGTACTTGTTTTTCTGTGTGATTAGGTATATCTGGGAGTGTGATGCATGATGTCATAATTTAATCTGTGTAGTTTAATTAGTGAAAGAGAGGCTGTCCAGAAGTTGCTGAAGTCAAAGCCATGGTCTTGATGAAGTGTAGATTGGTGTAAATCGAGTTAAAAGGATTTTTTTTATTTTTCCTGAAGTGCCATTGGGGATTAGTGAGACATGTCCAGATTTTGATGTCGATCCCAGTTTATGATAAGAATTGTTTTGTAATTATATTCTGCCAATACTGACATTCCCTAATGTGTTAGTCTCATGTACTTTTTGTCTTTGTTTTATGATTCATCTTATTTCTCCAATATATGCATTTCCACACAAACATGGTATTTTGTAGATTAATTCTTACTGTTTTAACTTGTTCATGGGTTGTTCCAGTTTCATTAGGGTGTTTAATTGTTAATCTTCTTACTCTTCATGTTTTATTGCTTGCTCCACTCTCATTAAACTTAACCATCAATCCTAAACTCTTCAAAATAATATCTATTTTCACAATAATTTAAGCATATTTGTGAGTTTACACTATAAAAATGCACAATCCACATTACCTAGATATTAACTATCATACGAAACTTCATAAAAATTATTGTGAAGCTTGCCTAAAAGCTTTATTTTTTCTACTTTTATGTCTGGCTTCAAATGACTACTAATATCCTGAAGAGCATACATTCCAATTGCTTATTTTTTCACAAAATTTCACTTTTAATTTACAAAGAGAATAATTATAAAACTTTAATCAAATTGTTATTTACCTTGGTGTTATTAATGTTACAGTTTATGAACAATTGTAATAATTTTGTGAAGATTGACTTCCTATGAGTATGTACAATAAAAGCATGCATATTTTGCTTCAGTTTTCTGGTGGTAAACACAGATTTATACACAACATAGCAATAAAATGTTTAATATCCAACTGAATGAATCAAACAATATGTAAAACATTCTGCACATATAGCAGTTAATCACTTTTTTTCAAAACAATGTTTTAGTTTAAATATAGGGAAGTAATAACTGTATTTTCACAAAAACAGGGCTAGCTAAAAATCTAATAATTATAACCCTCTTCAGATGGGTCACAGGTCAAAGGCCATGTCATCGCGTTTGTTGACTCGCATTCAAAATTTTAGTGAACTACTATTTCATGAATTTATGACAATAAGTTTGGTATCAAACTGTAGATTATAATTCAAATTTTAGTATTATACATTATTTCATTTCTTGATTTAAAAGTAAATATTAAAAAAACAGTTAAACATTGATTTCTGGGTGTAATGTAGTATGTTGAATGCAGCACTGATTCAAATTAGATGTTTGTGATGTCAAAATACTAAGTTTATAGTTTCGTATGAATGGAACTCAAATTACCGATATTGACAAGCTAGAATATAAAATAAGAACCTCATATATTTTCTATTTCCTGAGATATTACTCATTTACTGAATCAAACACAGTGGACTCACTCACCTCTTTCCATTTTTGGAAACAGTCCCTTATATACACTTACTTCAATATATGACATGTGAATAACCAATCAAAAGCTCAGAATGTCCCCCCCAGTGACTTTCTCAGCCCTTTTCATGTGTTAGGATGCCATCTCATTCTTTTGAACCAAGATTTCAAGGAGGTAAGTTGTGTCTTTAGTCTGCTTGAAATTTCATATTTTTTAGACCCAAATACAGCTTAGTTGCTAAGCTTGATAAAATATAGTGCAATTCTATGATATCAATATAGTAACTTATGATTTTTTGGTTATTCAACTGGATACATAAAACCTAAAAAAAATTATTTTGTTTCATATCTTCCACGTACAAAATTTTAAAAGGCTTAGCAACCTATGTCAAGCAGCAACCGAGTACAAAGTTCGTAACTAGAAGATATAATTGTTTGCTTTACTTCTTTATTTACTGTTCTATTTTGTAAGAAAAATAAGTTTAAGAACTTATTTCTAAATAGTAATAAATAAATTATTTCTAAATAATGTATATACATATATAATGTATAATAATTGAAATGTGACTATTTTACAAAATACTAGTCTACTGAAACACAGCCATGACAGGTCACTTTGTAAAGACTAAAGGTCAGTTTTATATTATTGGATACAGTAACATGAGAGCACGTTTACCATACCATTGTAAATTCTGTATTGTTAGCCAGGCATGGCTGAAAGGTCAATATAATAAAAATAATAAATATATATAAATATATAATGTTATGAGATTTAAGCTATTTCATCTAAACATTTCTGTTTTTGTGTTATAATTTGTTGTCATTCTAGAATGAAAGAGGCATAATTTATATTTATTTCCTAATTTTTATGGTGGTTACAAGACTGGTAAAATCTACCAAACCCGTACAGAGATTCATTAGTAAAATAACAGATAAAATATAAAGTTTTTTTCTTAAGAAATATTTGATAACTGTCTGGACATTATAAAGATTTTGCATGTGAAATTTGAAAACTTTCTGATGCATAAAAGTATTTTCAATTTTAAAATGAAAATTACTTTGCACGTTGCATAGGTAACATGCACAAACAAAACAAGGCATGAGAAAAACATTGCTTAACAAACTTTAAGACTTAATAAAAAAACCTGATATTTTGCATATAAAAGTATTG